TATATATTCTTTTAAAAGAGAACAATAAAGAAGCAGCTTGGGGGTAGTATTTTGAAAGAGAAAGGAAATCATCTACATTAACGATCATTCTTGCCCTATAGAAATTGGTCAGCGTGTCACCAGATCTTCCAAAACTTATCAACTCCATGAATGTCCAACAGCCAAAAGAAAATGAGATTGTCTTACTAAGTGGGTTGACATCCGGAAATCTCCAAACAGATTTTGAAGTTTCACAGGTAAGAGATAGAAACTGTTCATGGTCATTCACCAGTGATGTGGTATCTGTGAACAACTGTCAGCACATGTCAGCTGAGCCAGAAATCGATGCTGTAATATATGCTTCTGTGGTATCAAAGGTTTAGTCTTCATTTGTATTTCTCCTAAAATCATCACTCAGTATTTGATAGAGTTTTCCTTAAAGCAGTTCCTAACATTTACCTTCTCAAATCCATGGCACTAAATTGAACTAGAACAAACACACAAACATTTGATCATCCATAAATCTATTGCTATTAAGTGTCATGGAGTCAGTGCTGACTCATTACAACACCATTTTGAGTATAGGGTTCCCAAGGAGCGGCTAGTAGGTTTGAACCGCCAACATTTTGGTTAGTCTAGCAGTACACCAAGACTCCATAATTCTGTTTTACAACCCATAGCTACCTTGTATAGAGTTTCTGAGGAGTGACTGGTGAGCTTGAAGCCCTGACCTTGCAGTTCAAACTAACCTCACAGTCCACACATCAGCCCACAGTGCCCCACCAGTTCTCCAGTTATAATTCTATTTGACATTCAAAAAGAGAATTGTCTTCTGTTTCAGGAAAGATGTCCATAGTATGTGACCCCAGAATCCCATAATTTCTCTTTCTGGATGCTGGTTGCTCTGTGGTTCCGAAGTGTCGTCAGATTGATTTTGTCTCTTTGTGACCCCATGTGACTGAGTAGAAGTGCCCCAGAAGGTTTCTAGGTTTTGTGAAGATGCATCACCAAGTCTTTCTCACAAAGAGCTTCTGGGTGGGCTCAAACTACCAACTGTTCAGTTAGTGACCAAGCACTTAACCACTGTGCCACCAGGTCTTTTTTTATCTATCTGAGGTACCAACCAGCCAAGCAAATAAACACAAGATAGCAGGCTCAAGGGTGGAAAGGGAGTTTCCTAGGTCTAAAAGAACAAAATTCCTCTAAAAACGAACAGAACCTAAACTAGTGTTATTATCATTCAGTGTATTGATATCCATCACCATTGTTGTTGTTGTTGTTAAGTGCCATAGAGTTGGTTCTGACTCATAATAACCCTGTGTAGGGTTTCCAAGGAGCAATTGGTGGGTTTGAACTGCTGACCTTGAGATTCAAACCAAGCTTTCAGGCCAGTGCTTATCCTGCAGCACCACATCAGGACTCATCACCATTAGGTAAATTATTATAATTAGAAGAAAAATAGGTAAATTTATTTAACCAGCTTCAATGACTTCTAAAGGCATACTGTTTAAAAGGTAGCTAGCATTGATGGCACTGTAGAGATGAGTTCTGGACTGCTCACTGCAATGTGAGCAGTTCAAACCCACCAGCCATTTCCAAGTGAGAAAGCGGAGGCTTTCTGCTCCTGTAAATATTTATAGTCTCACAACCCTACAGAGGGTAGCTATGAGTCCGAATTAACTCTTTGGCAGAGTTTGGTTTGGGTTTTGGAATTTGTAACGTTAGGTATGCTAATAATGATACAAAAATATATGTCCTTCTAAATAATTCTTTAAGGAGCTCTCATAGCATAGTGGTTATGAATTGTGCTGCTAACCTCACGGTCAACAGTTTGAAACTACCAGTCATTACGTGGGAGAAAGATGAGACTTTCTGCTCCTGTAAAGATTTACAGCCTCAGAAACCCTTCACAGGGTTGCTATGAGTCAGAACTGACTCCACGGCACACTACCACCACCAAATAATTCTTTTAGTTTTGCTGGTGATTTTTTCAATCTTGTTTTATCCATCAACCCCTCAAACTCCAATGTCAGATACTTGGAAAGATCTACAGACTTGATAGTCCATTATGGTATACTAATCAAGACCAAAAACAAGTTTATCAGTCATCCTAAAATCACATTTCCTTAGTGAGACACTTCAGCATCTGAAAACACAACACAGGTGAAGATTCCAAGTTCCTTTCTTTGGGTTAGACAAAACCATGATGAGCAGAAATAAGATTCAAATCTGTGTTTTGAGAGCATTTCTGTACCTGACCTGTATTCCCTTTGCTGATAACTTCCTGATATTGAGCTTGTGCCTCTTCAATAAAAAGATTTAGCTCTATCTAGGATGGACCATCTTCTGCTCCTGTAAAGATTATAGCCCCGGAAACCCTGTACAGGGTCTCTATGAGTTGGAACCGACTCCACCGCACATAACAACACCACCAGGATGGATCACATAGAGTTGCCATGAGTCAGAATTGATTAGACAACGACTGGTTTGGTTTAGGGCAGGACATATGGATATAACAAATGAACTTCCAGCAATAGTGACCCATGTAGAAAACGAATGTTCCTGGGAGCCCACTTCTGTGCCTGTTCCACTGCATCAAAGGAGAGGATAAACATTCTCTGCCCTCCTAGTCTAAGCTCTGGTGGTGCTGTGGGATGAACACTGGACTGCTACCTGCAAGGTCAGCAGTTCAAACCCACCAGCTGCTCCAAGGGAGAAAGATGAGGTCTTCTGCTTCAATTCAGATTTATAGCCTTGGAAACCCTATACAGGATTATTGTCAGAATCATTTCGGTGGCAGTGAGTTTAGAGTTTTTTCTGGTAGTCTTAGCAGCTAAGTGCACATCAGGTGAAAGTTTTTATTAATGAAATCAGAATGTCACTGTTTATAGTATCTTGACTCTTCTAGGCAGAAAAGCAGGAGAATGGAATAAAATTCATTTCATATTTGAACTCAGCAGACCATGATCTTTCTGAGCTAAAGAAAGATTGGCATAGTAATGATTTCTACTGTATTGAATTAACCATGATGATGAGATAGAGAAGTCAGTGGTGCAAGTGATTAACATACTTGCTTGCTAACCAAAAGGTTGGAGGTTCAAGTCCACCCAGAGGTGGCTCAGAAGAAGGGCCTAATGATGTACTTCTAAAAAAAATCAACTATTGAAAGAAAACCCGATGGAGGACAGCTCTGCTCTGACACACAGGGGGTTGCCATGATTCATGATCCACTAGGCAGTAACTGGTAGTTTTTGTTTGTTTTTTAAGAATGGTATTTAAAATGTGGAAAGCACATTGTTGAAAAGCAGCTTTAGTTTTTATGAAGAAAAAAAGAGACAGGGTAAATATTTTAGAAGACCCAACATTTTGCAAAACCTACGATTGAAGCTCTATTTTCCACCTGAAAAAAATCCTATTTCAAGAAAATGCTTCATCTTCAAAGTTCAAGATATTTAATGGTTTTTGAAGCAATATGCTAAATCAATGAACAATTAATAAAGTAAGAAGGCTTCATTTATTTCTAGGTAATCAGATATCCCTGACTGTAGCTACTAACCAAACTGGTCCATTATAAAATTTACATAACTCTTTAGTAATTTGTGATTTGTCAAAAATTTACACATAGTGCTCTGTATAGACACTTTTTCTTTGAAGTACAGTATGAAGAGTCCATTTTCATTTTATTTTTAACAAGAAATGAATTTTTGTAGAAAGTGTATATAGCTTTTGACAAGTCTGGTGATAATTGGGAAATCCCAACTTTCTTCCCATATCTTTAAGGAAATTGAGATTGATGTGAATTGGTTCTGACCTTTGCATTGAACTTGTTACACTCTGATGAGTGTTAGTTGCTGTTTTTGTTGTAGTTAGGTGCTATCAAGCTGATTCTGGCTCAGCGCAATCCCATATACAACAGAAGGAAACATTATGCCGTCCTCCGCCAGCCTCACAATTGCTGCTTTGACTGAGCCCAATGTTGCAGCCACTGTATCAACTTCTTCTCATTGAAGAAGTTAAAATTCTTAATTAAACATGACAGAACATTAATTAGCTTAAGTACAAATAATTCTTTTTATGACATGAACATTTACAAATAAAGTATTTCCCTTAAAATACATAGAAATGTATTGTGTATGCAACTGAAAAAAACCATTGAATCGATTGTGTGCAGACACTTGAACAATATCGCCATGTTGTGGGCTTTTCTCTGTGGTCTCTGTGCTTTCTTTCTGTTAATGCCATTCTCAGACAATCTCTTCCCACAAGAAAGTAATATTGCTTTGAGTTCTAGTTGAGCAGGCAGAGGCGTGACTCCCAGAAAAAAAAAAAATCTCATTGTGACCTATTGACTATCTGGTATCATAGACCCATTTCTAAGTTAATTACTGCAGCCTGCTTGAAGAATATATTGTTCAGATTGGCCAATCCTGAGTCACATGACCATCTCATGTGGGAAGTAGAATTAACTCCATGAGAATTACGTGGGCACACAGTGACTAACCAACAGGTTAGAGGTTTTAGGCCACCCAGAGGCCCTTTATGGAGTCCTGGTGTGGCGCTGTAGAGTAATGCACTGGACTGAAAGGTCAGTTTGATTTGCAAGGTTGATGGTGGTTCAAACTCACTAGCCACTCCTCAGAAACCCTCTACAGGCTCACTATGAGTTGGAACTAACTCAACAGCATTAAACAGAAACAACTTTGGAAGAAAAATCTTGTAACTTCTGAAAAGTCAGCCATTGAAGACCCCAGGGAATACTCTTCTACTGTGACATACATGGGGTCATCATGAACCAGAATAAACTGTTATTTTTAGTTTAGTTTTGTTTTTGAATCACTTGACCAGTGGGTGAGGCAGATAATGATGTCCTACTGAGCTCTCAGGGTGTGAGAATCAGAAGAAGGGCTGATGGATGCTGGGTCACAACATCAACAAAGATGTTCACTGAGGTTAGGTAGAATTGCCAAAGATTCATTAAAGATCTTTCATCAAAAAGTACTTGGAATTCTGTATTCCTTTCCTACTAAAGAACTGACTGAGAATTTCCTGCAAGTTACAACACTCAAACATTTTGTTCTTTATTCCAAGGGTCACTGTCTTGTTTAGCTAGGTATCACTTCACCTTTCTGTCATCACCCAAAGTCCCAAAATCATTTTGTAGGTACCACAATCCATGTATTTTAATAGACTACAAATGTTAGGTCCAATTCAACACTGAATCCCATGCTAGTTAACAGCAGATACCAATGCTTGAACAGGGATAATGTTAGTGTGGCTCTTGGTCCCAGTAAAAGTTCCACAAAAACCAAACCTACTGCGATAGAATGAATTCTGACTCGTAATGATTGTATAGGAATTCTGAGACTGTAAATTTTCATGGTACTAGACACTTCATCTTTCTCCCAAGGAGCAGCTATTGGGTTTGAACTTTGGACCTTACAGGTAGCAATCCAATGTCTAATCCACAGTATTACAAGGATTCCTTCAGTAAAGGTTGGTTATCTGTTAATCCATAAGTAAAGACACACTTGAACTGGGAAATTAAGGAAGTCTGAAGCAATCTGAAAGGAATAGCCAACATTCCAGTGGGTCTGTGAGGAAGAAGATAAACCAGCTACTGTCCTCACATCAGCAATAACAGGGAAGTTAAAAAAAGAAGAGGACAATAAATGCTGGTGAAGATGTGGATCAGCTGGGACCCTCCTACTTTGCTGGTGGGATTGCAAAATGGTCCAACCACTCTGGAACACAATATGGCACTTCCTCAGAAAGCTAGAAATAGAAATACCTTACAATCCAGCAGTTCCTCTACTTGGTATTTATCCACAAGAAATATGAGCCATATCAAAAGTAGATATATGCACACCAATGTCCATAGCAGCACTATTTACAATAGCAAAAAGATGGAGATAGCCTAAGTGCCCATCAATGGATAAACAAACTTTGGTACATACACACAATGGAATATTATGCTACCTTGAAGAATTGCAAGGAAACTGCAAGCTACAACATAACATGGATGAACCTTGAGGGGCATCATGCTGAGTGAATTTAGTTAGTCACAAAAGGGCAAATATTGCATAAAACAATTACTGTAAAAGCTTAAGAAAAAATACCCACACTAAAAGGGAAAAGAAAAAGAAAAATTCTTTGTTTGTTACCAGGTGTAGGAGGTGGGGCGAGAAGACGGAGGGGAAAGTGGAGCACAGGATAGTGAATAGACACACAATAGTTTGGGTGTTGATGGGGCAATACACAAGAAGTGGTAGGGGAATGGAAGAACAAGGCAGATAGGAGAACAGTTAGGCAGGTTTTCATGGGCTAAGTGGGACAGAGGTAAATAGTCATGTATGCTCAACCTTGGAACAACAGGGCTCTAGGATACAGGGATTGAGGCATGGTTTGAATGGGTGAAAGGGGAAATAATATTAAGATGCTTGACTGTCTTATGAATCTTGGTTTCCATGCTTACTATTGTAAATAGACACTTCAGAGGGAGAGAAAAGAATAGCCAAAAACATCGCTATAGAAAGCTTGCAAGCCAGTCTTCAGCCTATAACTTATTGGACTACCTAAAATGGAACTAGATATTGCCCAGTGAAAGAGGCTTCCTGTGGAGCCTTTGCATTGCATAAGACAGTAGGTGGAATCCTGATCCCCATCCAGAATCTCCTGAGGTGGGAAATCTCCACTTGAAAGGACAAGAAGACCAGCTTGGAGCAGCTAGAAGAATAGAAGATACGTCTTGAAAGAAAGACCAACAGGAAAAATAAAAAATAATAACGGCAGTCTGATTGACTACTACAAGAGCAAGCAAGTTGTTCACTGGGGAGCCATCAAGGCAAGCAATTGAATCCCCTCAGAGTAAACCCTCTTCCAAGACTGAAACTCAAAGGGAATACACGAGGAGGCATGTAATCTTGCTGGTGACCACGTTGGTCTACCGATAAGGGGAAGTGGGGGAAAAACAGCAATGAAGCTGTGAGCTAAGTATGATCCAGGTTGACAGGAGTCAGTAGATTCCTGTCAACCTGGATAGCGACCTGGTTGGCCAGCAGTACAGTGAAAACTGAGGACTCCTGATCCCATGGACAGAGGCATAGTCACAGAGGACTAGAGCAGAGAGTGAAGTGTCCAGCTGATATAAAGTGAAGGGAGATACACAAGAACACCCATACTTGCAGATAATAACCATTTGACATAGCTTTAGTGGTTGGATGATCAGAACTCAACTAGAGGAAGAAAGAAGAGGGGGAGAAAAAGTGTAATGTGCTACAATTTGATGAACTTGACATATACTTAATGGATGTAGTGGCTTAACAGAGGGAACAAATCTTTACAGCAAGGATCATCCCCACCCCCCTGCACACTGGTTGACAGGGATGGGCAACTTAGACATTGGCTACCCAAAATGGGGGACTACAAAGGCACAAAGTGACTGGCTTACAAGTTTTCAAGAGAGAGCTTAGTTTCATAGGGTTCAGGGGAAGGTGGAATCTCCACTGAGTGGTTTCCAACCTGTCTAGATGTGACTGGTGAAAGGAGATGGGAATAAGACTCTTGTGGTTCAATGGTGAATAATTGCCATCAGGACTGATTGTGAATGTTGCAAATGTAAAGGTAAATGTTTTGTAACAAAAGGAGGAGAGTGGTTGATCTTGCAGTCCAGGAGCAGAGGACCCTGGGACCATCAAGGGAGAAGAGCAGAGTGCGGGACTCTATCCAGAGAAGCAGCAACGCCAGAGATGGAGGCAGAGACAATGATGTGGAGAGGCAGAGTGGCTGCAGACTCTAGACTCAAGGAGCGAGAGTGGCTGTGTGCTGGTGGCCAGGGGGCTGGCATGCATGTTATACCTTTTGGTTGTTTGAATGGGTATATATTCCTGAGTGCTCCAGTGTACATAAAAAAAATTTAAAAAGAAAACAGAGGAACTGGAAGCAAATGCTGTTGAATGATGATGCACGTGTAGTCATTGCAATGAAACGAAATACAATAGGATGAATGAAACACCAGCTGCTCCCAAGGGTCGTATCTCTAGCCAGATTAGCCCACTTCATACACATAAAATCTCATGTATGGTCTGGAGGTCTCAGCTAACAAAGACACTCCAATTTTGGACACAGCCCCAGGTTTTAGCATAATCTTGCAAAAATCAAGGACAAAGACTAAAGTCTGTGGGTAAAGTTAATACAAACTTAGTAATCATCGCTCCTAAAATTACTCTAATAATCATATTCAATCGACGATTTCTAAATGGTATTCATGTAAGAAAAAGATACTGTACTTTAAGAAGTAGAATATGTATGTCTATGTGTGTGTAGAAAGAGCCTGGGTGGCAGTGGTTAAGCACTTGATAGCTGATTGACAGGTTCAAACCCCCCAGCCACTCCATGGCTGACAAATGTGGTAGTCTTCTTCCTTTAAATCTTATGGAGTAATTCTGTTCTGCCCTAATAGGGTCACTATGAGTCAGAATCAGCTTGATGGCAACAGATGGTGGAGGTATATCTTCCTTGGCATGTACACACACACACACAACTTCAAGAATGAGGATTCCAACATGGCATGTTGATTAGTATTAGACTGAATTAACTTGAACCATTGATAAGCATGATTTAAATCATCCTTTTTTATAAAGTGAATATTTAGACATCAAATATTTCCCCTAAGCATTTCAAATTACACGTTGAGATAAATTTATTTAGCTCCCTTCTGTCCATTCATTCTGTTGATTCAAATACTTTTCTGTTCAAAATGAAATTAACATATTCTTCCTCTTACAAAACTGAAAATTCTGGTGCCACAGCCTGCTTATGATTTACTAGCAATCTAGACACAAACAAGTGAAAGACTTTTCATGGTTATTTTCATGAATAACAATATGAATAGTGAAAATGAGCAATGGAGAAAAGGGATGTGGTTTGTAAATCTACAAATGAACAATTTTAGTCTATAGGGAACCCCCATCCAATTATCTGAGCTTCTTCATCACAGCTCTCCCCATATGCTGGTCTTCCAAATACCTCTCACTTCTAGTTGATTTCTTAAAATCCATATTCATTGCTTCTTCAGATGGGAAATACAAATTATAAAATCTAAATGTAGCTGATAGCATGCTTGATACGTATCTGAAGTACTGACAGGTTTTACTGCAAATGAAAAAGATGAGGGTCAGATACTGAAACTCAATTTAATCAAGAGAGGAAAACAAGAACATCCGAGATGACTGTTCAATTTTTCCCTAAGTCAAAATTTCTCCTAGATGCCCTGTGTTCCCCCACATCATTTGAATTTGTTTTCCAAGGAATTCATCAATATAAGCCCAGAAGATATTTCCGATATTTTAAAGGTCTCCACTACTTGTAAAAGAAGGGATTGGTAGAAGAAATGTCAGAAGCAATCATCTTTGATTTCCTCTTTCAACAAATGCCTTCTTTTCTCTCCACTTCTAGTGTCCTTGGCTGCCGGATATTTGCTTGGTGCAGTGTGCAAGAGGGAACAGACCAAACAGTACCAATTGCATCATCTTTGAAATCAACAAGTTTTTGATCGGCCTGGAACTGGTGCGCGAACGGCAACTCCATGTGGAAACAAACACGCTGAAGCTGGAGGATGACACAAACTGTTCTCTGTCCTCCATTGAGGAGGATTTCCTCACGGCGTCCGAGCACTTGGAGGAGGAAAGCGAAGTGGAAGAATATAGAAACGGTGAGCACTTTCCCGTAAAACTCATGTGCATCCTGGAATCAGTCACTGTGTAGAAATTTTGGGGTGAAGTTTCGGAGAAGTTTCAAGCCGTGTCATTTCGGCTGACGCATCTCAATCTTCACTCTCTGCGTTTAAGAGAAGGTGAATACTTCCTTGGATGGCGGCTGTTTATGCTGGACGTGTGGCCAGAGATGGGTAAGGATCACGTGGAACCTCGGCTACTTAAGACAGAGCCATTGCCAAGCTGCAATGAGTCTCAATGACTGGTAAGACTGAGGAATTCGCACTGACCACCTAAGACAGGCAGCGTCCCTTAAACAATCAATAAATAAGGAGGATTCAGATGCAGACAGTGCAGACCCTGTCAGGAGGCCAAGCCCCTGTGGGCCCAAGCGTTGTTGACCGTCCAAACCATAGGCTCTGAGGATCAGACTCTAGCTACCTAGTAGACATAGCAAACTGTCCCTCATCTGATTATTCAGTAATGCTTGTTAGCAATCTCATACATGAGCCCTGGATATCCACAGACAAATGTAAAAACCTTCTCTAAAAGCCGAGACTGTAAATTCCAAAAAGGCAAGTCCCCGCCCCCCCATCCAAAAAAAAAAAAAAAAAAGCTAAAGAGGATAGAGAGAAACACTGTAAACGGATGATATATGGAGGGGATAATAATCAATGTAATGAAACAAGCTATATGAATGGTTGAATGTGAAGCAGATGATGTGCCCTGTAAACTTTCACTCAATCCAAAATAAAAACATTTAATTAAAAAAAAAGAGAAGGCGAATAAAGATGCTGAGGAATGCACTTAATAGACTTATTGGTTGAATGGCTCCAAACTTCCCAAAGATGCCTTAGAGATGCTGAAGGAAATTGCTTTGCTTTAAAGGGAGATCCTCCTACCTGACAGTGATGGGAAATATCACTGGGGAGAACACCTGCTTGTTTGGAGCTGGGTTAGGATGGCCTGAATTTGAATCCCAATTCTGCCACTTAGAGCCAGGGTAACTTCAAGTCAGGTATCTAATCTTTCTGAGCCTTGTTTCCTATTTATTTTATTATAGCAGTACAGTCCTGTTGTTGTTGTTTTTTTATATGCAGTTTGAGAGTCAAACAATGCCTGCAACAAAACAGCAGATGACTGTTGGAAGGACAAAAGAAAATAATCCAAAACACTGTGGTGTTAGAATCGATGACGACCCCATGTGTGTAACAGATTAGAACTGGGTTTTCAATGATGACTTTTGTGGAAATTGGTCACCCAGCCTTTCTTCCTAGGTGCCTCTGGGTAGAGTTAAACCTCCAACCCATGGATTAGTAGCAAAGCACGTTAACCATTTGCACCCAACGACTCCAAAAAATAAAAAATAGAACACTTCTCTTGAGTGGATTCCGACAGAAAAGAACTGCTCCAGAGAGTTTTCAAGGCTGTAAATTTTTAAAGTGTCCTGGTATGGCACTGCAGGATAAGTACTGGACTGCTAATCCCATGGTCAGTGGTTCAAACCCACAAGTTGCCCCTTGGAAACCCTATACAGGACTGTTATAAGTCAGAGACTGGACAGTACTTAACAAGAGCTCTGTGAACAATAGGTTTTTCTTCCCTGCTCTCAGCTAAAGAAGTGATCCCATCTGTTGCCAATGTCCTTGGGACAAGTCCTATATAAACTTCAAAGCCAATTTCTACAGCAAAACTATTATCACCATGATTCTAAGCATCCTCCCTCTTCACTCTTTTGTTATTATTAGGTTGCCATTTAGTTAGTTCCTACCCATGGAGACCCTTTGCACCACAGCATGAATCATTGTCTGGTCCTGAACCATCCTCATAATTGTTGCTCCGGTTGAGTCCATTTTTGCTGCCACTGTGTCAATCCATCTCACTGATGGTCTTCCTTTTTCCTGCGGATCCTCCACTTTCTAAGCATGCTGTCCTTCTCCAAGGACTGATCCCTCCTGACAACATGTCCAAAGAATGACAGATAAAGTCTAACTATACTCTCTTCTAAGTACCAGGCTGACTGTACATCTTCCAAGATAGATTTGTTTCTTCTTCTGGCAGTCCGTGTTCCTTTTAGTATTCTTCCCGAAGAATAGCATAATTCATATGGTAATTAAATTCTTTTTCAGTCTTCCATTTTCATATTCATTGTCCAACTTTCACATGCATATGAGGCTATTGAAAATATCATGGCCCACCTTAGTCTTCAAATTGACATCTTTGTTCTTGAACATTTTAAAAGAGGGATTTTGTAGCAGATATTCCTAATGCAATACATCATTTAATTTCTTGACTCTTGCTTTCATGAGTGTTGAATGTGTATCCAGGCAAAATGAAGTCTTTGACAACTTCAATCTTTTCTTCATATTTTCATGATGTTTTTTATTAGTCCACTTGTGAGGATTTTTCTTTCTTTATATTGAAGTGCAATCCATACTGGAGGCTGTAGTCGTTGATCTTCATCAGTAAGTATGTCAAGTTGCTTTCAGTAAACAAGTTTGTGTCATCTGCACATCACATGTTGTTAGTGACTCTTCCTCCAATGCCAATGCCACATTCTTCCAAATATAATCTAGTTTATGGTATTATTTGCTCAGATACAGAATGATTAAGTATGATGAAAGGATACAATCATGACTCACCTTTTCTTATTTTAAACCATTCAGTGTCCCTTTGTTCTGTTCTAATAACTGCCTCTTGGTCTATGTACAGGTTCCTCATGAACACAATTAAGTGTTCTAGACTACCCATTGTTTCCAGTGTTTTAATGATCCACACAGTTTGTTATGATCCACACAGTTGAAAGCCTTTGCATAGCCAATAAAGCACAAATAAACAACTTTCTGATATTGTCTGCATTCAACCAAGACCCATTTGATGTCAGCAATGATATACCTGGTTCCACATCCTCTTCTGAATCTAACTTGAATTTCTTGCAGTTCTGTGTTGATGTACTGCTACAACTATTTTTGAATAATTTTCAGCAAAATGTTCCTTTCATGTTATATGCAAGATTATTCACTCTGTAGCCACTGGGAAAATTCTAAGAATGCAGTTATTTTGCATTGATTTCCCTCTGAAAAATAGCAGCCAGTTCTCAGCTTACAAACCCTAGGTGTTCTTTGTATTGCATATCCAAAGCCATTTGACTGGTGACATTCCATAATGAAATTCAAACACATTTCCAAACTCAGCAAATATTCACTATGCCATATTTGGGGAGTAGGGAAGGAAGGAAACCCAAAGAAAGGAACAAAGAAGACATAGCTAATGCCTTAAGGCATTTAAAAACATCAATCATTATTTTGCAGCCATGGAAATCTGTTATTCAAAAACTAACAGTGATCCTTATTTTCTCTTCACCAGGTTTTGAAAATATAAATGTCTCCACACATGCTCTAGAAAGTAAAAAGCCAATGGAAGCCTGTCGGGATGAATGGAATTACAACAAGGAAATGTCACTTTATGCTTTGGAAGACATATACAGTCACAAATGCCATACACATACACCAGTGATTAAACCAGAAGTGTTTCTAGAAAAAGCAGCAGAAGAAACCTACTTGAGGAGTCTAGATCCCTCCGCCAAACCATCCCAGTGGAAAGGTGAAGCTGTAAGTTATTCTAAACCAACTACCAATTATAACTGCTGTTCAGAAATGATTCAAGGTCAGGTGGAAAGATCACAGGCACATCATCCTCCAGGTGATGCTAATTTCACCAGGTTGGTTAAGAGAGATAAGTCTTCTGTGTTTGACACCATCACTGAACATGCCAAAAATTTAGAGCCAAGAGTGCCTGCAGGCAGAAGAAAATCTCTTCCTCCCATCCAAGATGGAGAAGCCACAACTGGCGAGTACGCTATGAATTTAGCAGAGTCTGTGCTGCAAGATGCATTTATTAGGTTGTCTCAGTCTCAGCCTGCACTGCCTCAGGAACCCACAGTCGGCCTTTCTGTCAGAAGTGCCATGCTTCCCAGTGGCTGTTCCACCATGAAAGACACAGCAGTCCCCAAAATCATCATTGTGCAGAGTCCAGATGGCAGCGATGCTGCTGCTGAGCCAGCCGTCTGCTCATGGCCAGAGTCCGAAGTCTCCCATGAAACTCCACACGTCCATTCTGGGAAGAATTCCAGCAAACACTCCCAGAGTGCTCTGGAAGTCGTGCTAGCTTGTGCAGCCACTGTGATTGGAACCATTTCCAGTCCACAGGCCACAGAAAGACTCAAAATGGAACAAGAATCCTTGATGTCGGGCAGCCTGCTGGGCAGCAATGAGGCACTGCTGACTCAAGACTCACAAGCACTGAAGGAGCCTTCCCTCAGTGAATACTCCTTCCCCTCTGCTTTATGTGGAATGACTCAGGTAGCAAGTGCTGTTGCTGTCTGTGGCCTGGGGGAAGTGCAAGAGGCCAAGTGCCCTATGGGGACAAGCAGCCTCTTGTCTGCAGCAGTGCCCGCACTTGGGGAAGTGACAGTGGACAGAAGCATGGACATGGGGAATGAAGTTGTTGCGGAGGCTCTCTTCAAGGAGGCCACACTGGTTCTAATGAGGCCCAACTCCTACAGCAGCATTAAGGACCTCATGGAATCCATGAATGAGAGAATCATCGAAACTGCTGCAAGGCCTCAGACCCAATGCTCAGACCACGTCCTCAAGAATGAGTTGGCACAGAGCCTGGCCAATGTGATCCTGAAGCATTCCATGGATGAAGTTCACCAGAAAAGTAAAATACTAGAACCCAACGATGATAGCCATTCATCTGATAATTTGGACAGGTTAATGGAAAGAACAAACCAACTGCTCTTCAATGTAATCTGTCTCACATTCAAGAAGATGAGCAGTCTTGTACAGCTCAGTGAAGGTCCCACTGTCCTCTGTAAGGAGACCATCAGATGGAAGGAACCAGAAATAGGCTGCCAGCTAACTGCGCAGGCTGCTGGTCAAGAGTGGCCAAAAGCTACTGAATATGCCAGCAGTCATTCAACTGACTACCCACCTAACACTGGTCTTGGCATGAAGGAAACTGTAGACGACATGAATCCAAAACAAGATAACAAGGGCAGAGTGAATCTTGGCCTCTACAAGAATTCCAGCATGCAATCTGAAGGCTCAAATAGTCAGGGTGTACACATTTCCTCAACAGTGAAAACATCCCCCAAAGAGATGCATCTGAAAGGTGCCATGGGAGACATTACAAAACTCCATCATCAGATGTCCAGCCTCAGTGAGAATGAATGCAGAACCTCTGCAGAGGGAGAAAGGGCATCTGCAGTCCACAGATACAGCAAGGGGTCTCTGGATGCTGAGGACAATGTCAACCCAAACACCCAAGAAAAACACAATGGTGACACACCTCTCCACAATGAAGTTCAGGTCAACCTATCATTGTTAGGGAGTGACTTGCTGCTTCCCGCTCAGTCCATGATACAAACAAAGCAGGCAGACGTATACTGCATTGCAGACTTCGCAGAAGAATTAGCAGAGACGGTTGTCTCCATGGCAACTGAAATCGCAGCGATTTGCCTTGACAACTCCAATGGAAAACAACCATGGTTTTGTGCATGGAAAAGAGGGAATGAGTTTCTGATTACACCAAACTTATCCTGCCGCACCTTGAAGAGAAAAAAGGAGAGCCAGAGCAGCGGGACCACAGTCAGAAAACACAAGCCACCACGGCTCAGTGAGATCAAGAGGAAGACGGATGAGCACCCTGAACTGAAAGAGAAATTGATGAACAGGGTTGTGGATGAGTCTATGAACGTCGAGGATGTCCCAGATTCTGTCAATATCTTTGCAAATGAAGTGGCGGCCAAGATCATGAACTTGACAGAGTTCTCCATGGTAGACGGTGTCTGGCAAGCCCAGAGCTACTCTCGAAATCGATTACTGGGTGATAGGTGGAACCGCCTGAAGGCCTCCAGCTGTGAAAGCATTCCAGAGGAAGATGCTGACACCAGAGCCTATGTAAATAGCCTGGGTTTGGTGAGTACCTTAAGTCAGCCGGTGAGCAGGGCCAGCTCTGTCTCCAAACAATCCAGCTGTGAGAGCATCACTGATGAGTTTTCTAGGTTCATGGTGAACCAGATGGAAAAGGAAGGGAGAGGCTTTGAGTTACTGCTGGACTACTATGCTGGCAAGAACGCCAGCAGCATTTTGACCTCAGCTATGCAACAGGCATGCCGGAAAAATGACCACCTGAGTGTGAGACCCAGCTGTCCCTCCAAGCAGTCCAGCACAGAGAGCATAACTGAGGAGTTCTACAGGTACATGCTGAAGGACATTGAAAGGGAAAGTAAAGAGAACCCTGCAGCCAGAAGAAGCAGCCAGGATTGGACTGCTAGTCTCCTTCCTCCTCTCTCTCGAGCTCCATTTTGTCATAGACAGTCATCCATGCCAGACAGCAGATCGCCATGCACCAGATTAACAGTGAATACACCTGTCAAAGCCAACTCCTTAGATGGCTTTGCACAAAACAGCCAGCAAGATTTCTTAAGCGTCCAGCCAGTCAGCAGTGCTTCCTCCTCGGGTCTCTGCAAATCGGACTCTTGTTTATATCGTAGAGGTGGGACAGACCACATCACAAACATGCTAATTCACGAAACGTGGGCCAGCTCCATTGAAGCCCTCATGAGGAAGAACAAAATCATTGTTGATGAAGTCCAGGCAGCTGATATTAAGCCTACTTCCAGTGGCTCTCCCACTCAAGAGGACGAGTGTACCAGCAGAGGAGCTTCGAGCAGAGTGAAAAGTGGGCCATCGCTGCTCATCCAGGGGTCTGTGGACTACCCGAGGAAAGACTTCAGCAAACATTCCTCCATGTCATCTGCAAGCAAAGCTGCTTCCCTTACAACCAACAACAGCATAGATTCTACAAAGGAACTTTCCGTGTGCCATGAGGCTCTCTCTCCAAACCATACCCAGCGATCCCTTTGCTCAAGGGAAGTGCCTCTAATTCAGATTGAAACAGATCAAAGAGAAGAGTGTGTTGGAGGACAACCTGAAGATGTCCTTTCCCAAAGCAGCCTCCATGAGGAAGCTGAGGAAAATTCCAGTGAAGAAAAACATCCAGACGTGATGAGGGACAGAGACCTAGAAGGGAGTATCTGCCAGAACCATAGGTGAGTAAATCGTCTCTTCTAAATAGGAGGCCAGGGACTTGGACTTGCATCTTAACTCAGGTTTATTATATAATCTTAGACTTAACTCTTTGCCTTCAAGTCCATTCTGACTCCCAGCAACTGTAAGACAAACTACAGCTGCCACATAGGGTTCCTAAGGCTGACAATCTTCATAAAAGAAGATTGTCACATCTTTTTCCCACAGAGTGCAGGGTGGGTTCAAACCGCTAACCATTCAGTCAACAGCCCAATGATTAACCCACTGCAGTACCAGGCTACTACTTAGACCTGGAGGGACTTCATGGATGCAAGACCTGAAGTCCTGAGACAAACTATGGCTTCCCTGGGTCTATATGCTCTTGTAATGGAAAGTTGGAAGTGTTTGTTGGTTTGTTTTTTAATTCCCAAAGAAATTGAATTCATGCATATAACAGCAAAAATAAAGTATCATTTTATCCAGAGAAATGCCATTTTCTGTAGTTGGCTACCTTTGAAAATGCATTCATGGTGGCTTTCAAGTTAAAAAATTGAAAAGCTATGCCAATGTATAGGTTTGAAAACAGTTCAATTTAAATACATTTTAATACTGAGAGCTGACATTAGATCATCTGCCATAATTTTCACATTTTTCACTTGTGTCTGCTCTAGAGATCTTTTCAAAGATACCATATTCTACAAATGCTGGCCGTTTCCATGCATGACGCAAGCATGACCCCGTGATTGCTAAGGAACACAGTGGTATTGTTGTTTGAGGAGTTCTTTTGCAGAGTGTTGTTGTATAGATGATGCTGCTCACTCAATCGCTCCTGGTGTCACCTAGACTCAATTTCTGACCTCTCTTACTGTCGTTTTGACTTCCTGTTTGTTGTTCAGTGCTGTTGAGTCATTTCCAACTCATGGTGACCCTCTATAAGATTCCCAAGGTGATTTAAAACTGCTGAGCTTGCAGTTAGCCCAGTATTTATCCTATACCACCACACACCAGGTCTCTTATTCTTCTATGTTGTCATTGTTGTTAAGTGCTATCGAGTTGGTTTTGACTCAGAGTGACCTTGTATAGGGTTTCTGAGGGGCAGCCGGTAGGTTTGAACCATTGGCCTTGCAGTTAGCAGTTTAATACCCTTTGTAATATGGAGTCCTGGTGTGACACTGTAGGATGAGCACTGGACTGCTAACCTCAAGGCGGGTGGTTCAAATCCACCAGCCACTCCTTAGAAGCTCTCCGTATACAGACTCACAGTGAATCAGAACGACATTTAACAACAACAGCCCTTTGTAAACACTCACTATATGTTTACTTTGTTGTTATTGTCACTATTGTTGCTTCAGGTTAGGATGTATGTTGTTATTTTCACTGTTATTAAGTGCTGTCAATCCAGTTCTAACTCATAGGGACCCTGTATAGGGTTTCCAAGGAGCAACTGATTGATTTGAACCATCAACCTTACGGTTAACAATCCAGTGCTTAGGATGTATGGTTGTCTTTTTTTCCAAGTCTTGGTGGTACAATGTGCTAAGCATTGGTCTGCTAACCGAGGTGGGCGGTTCAAGCCCATCAGGCACTCCACTGGAGAAAGACAAGGCTATGGCCTCCCAGAACTATACACCATCTCAGAACTCTTAAGAAGGAGTTCTCCTCTGTCCTACAGGGCAGCCATGAGTCACAATCAACTCACTGATGGTGGGTTTTGTTTTTGTTTTTATTTTAATTTTGTTTTTGTCCCAAGAGAAACCTGTTAGAAATTGTGTGAAAACAAGAGAATGCCCAAAATTTGTAAGGGGAAATCGTAGTCAGGTTTATATTATTGTTGTGAAGTGCCACCTAGTCAGTTCCGACCCATAACAATCCTGTATAGGTTTTCCAAGGAGCGACTGGAGAGCTTGAACCACTGACTTTATGGTTCAAACCAATTTCTCAGTCCAGCGCATTAACCCACAACACTACACATTCCCTAAACTCAGAGTTGTTGTTATGGACCTGATGTGTCGAAATAGCTAAATATAAACTGCAAAACCCTGTAAATCAGTTTCTACTCACTCAAGAGGGGAGCAATTGACAAAGGTCCTCTGTTCTAATTGGGGATGGAGAAGTAGCAGATCCTAAAGACATGTTCAGGCTACTCTCTGAGGATACATATGAGGAAGAATTTCATAATTCTTACTAGAAGTTCCTTAGAGACTTAACATATTAAAGAAAGGATCACTTGTCTTACTGTTTTTATTTGATGAAGAGTTGTTGTTGTTGTTAAGTACAGTTGAGTCAGATCTGACCCTCAACAATCTATATAGGGTTTCCAATTTTCCAGCACTATATCTGACAATGTTTTGCTGCTATTCAAAAGGTTTTCAGTGGCTAAACATTCAGAAGTATTTCACCTCTTTTTCTTCAGATTCTTAGTCTAGAAGCTCTGTTGAAACCTGTCCTCCCTGGGGACCCTGCCTACATTATAAATACTGGTAGCATAGCTTCCAACATCATAGCAACACACAAGTCACCACAGTAGGACAAACTGACAGATGAGTGGTGACCCGTACAGATTACAGACTACAGGGCAGTTGTACTTTGTCTTATAGAACTATTATGAGCTGGAATTGACTGATGGTAACATAAGGGAACAATACAACTATGCATCAGATTGATCTTATTGACATTTATAGACCTCCTCACACAACAGCAGCTGACATACAGCACAATGCATTTCAAGTGTTCTGGAAACAATCACCAAGCTGGATGATATCTGAGCCATAAAACAAGTCTTAGTAAATTTAAAAGAATTGAAATCATAAAGAGTATGTTCTTTGATCACATAGAACTAAATTAAAAATCAATAACAAGGAGCTCTGGTAGCGTAGTGGTTACGAATCGGGCTGCGAACCTTAAGGTCAGTGGTTCGAAACTACCAGCCGCTCCGGGGGAGAAAGATGAGGCTTTCTACTCCCGTAAGGATTTACACCATCGGAAACCCTGTACAGGGTCGCTATGGGTCGGAACCGACTCGACGGCACTTAACAACAACAACAACAACAACAATAAGATATCTGGAAAATCTGAACATATTCGAGTTAAGGACACAATTCAAAAACTTAATAATTTTACAAAATGAACCAGAAGAACACACTTTAAAATGTCCCCTTGGTCATAGAATACATCACAATAAATTACAAAACAACATTAAAATTTCTGGACCACAATTTTAACATTACTTAGAAATGTATACCTTTAAATATTTCTAATTTGAAAAGAAAAATGCTCTGGCACCAACATCCTAACATTTCACCTTAAGACACTAGAAAGGATGAACAAATTAAACTCAAAAGTAATATCAAGAAAACAATAATAAAAATAAGAACAGAAAACAATTTTTATGAGAATGGAAAATAATACAGGAAATCAGAGATATTAAAATGTTTTTAGTTCAAATACTGGTGAATAAGTAGACACATGTGTATGCGAAGTCTAAGTACAAAGGACTGCCAGAAGAAAGAACAAATCTGTGTTGGAAGAAATACATCCACATTGTTTCTTAGAAACAAGTACTTCAGACACATCATCATGGAAGACCATCTCTGAAGAAGGGCATCGTGCTTGGTGAGATAGAAGGTCAGCAAAGAAAGAATACTGTCAATGAGATGGATTGACACTCTCACTGAGATGAAGTGGCTCCAATGGGTTTCAGTAGCAATGATTGTGAGGGTCTTGCAGGACCAGGCAGTATTGAATTCACTATGAGTCGGAATGCACTCGATGGCACCTACCAACAACAACCTCTCTCAGAGAACTTGTACAGTAACTAAACAACTGCAGAAACCCGTTGAAAAGAGGACTTTTACTGTAATTACACAATTATTTTTACTGTTGCTTTCTACTTGTAACAAGTGATTCCTGTTTTTCATTTACAGTTGTGTCTTAAAATTTCTTTTTTTAAAGGCATATTTGACCTATTTAAATATTTTTTAAGTAAATCATAGGGCTATGGCAAAAATCACAAAAGTGCTTTGAAAATTAGTGAATTTGGGTCAGGATCTTTGAACTGGCTGGATGATCCTGGTACCCTCTGCCAGTTCAGATATCCTGCCATTGTACTTGATGAGATACCTGGTCCTCTAAGGTTCTGCATGAACTGCAAGATCAGAAGGGGGGCACGCCATCTGCATTTATCTGCATACCACACCAGCACATCATTCATAAATCAATGAACAAAGTTATAAATTTTGCCAAAAGAAAATGAAAACTAGTGCTTTTGAAACTCATTCCTTCAGAATATCCTGTGACATGTGACATGAAGTTTACTGTAAATAGAGCATAAAATTGAGAGATGATAAAATAGACTGACTGACAGAGTCCTTGTCTAACCTGAATGAATGTTCAGGGGAATCACTGAGATTAAATGCTTTTTTTTTTGAGCTATAAATACCCTAGGATGATTTTTTTTCCCCCCAATAACAACTCATTTAGAATTAGTTTAGGAAATTACAAACAAATGATTTAGGATTCCCTTCCTTTGTGCTCACATGTCACCCGTTTACATTTTGTGAAGAATATGTGTATTGGTTCCAGTTGTCATCAGTGAATTTTCTTTCATTTGAATTGAATTAAATGCCACCTCTTTGGCTGGACTCTTTCTTCCCATACCACCCTGCTCAACTTGGGGAAACCTTAGCATTCTTTAAAGAAAAGACAAGCTTATTTGATTGCTCCTTTCACCACCATGCTAACCCCCATATCAGACCAGCCCAGAGTGCTGTGAGAAAGAATCTTGGAGAAGAGGGACCAGAGTGGAAAGAAACCTTTTGTAAAATCTCCCAGGTAACAAGTTCACACATCAAAAGTAAGAGTTTGTAATCCTGCTACAAAAGGTATGTTTTTGAAACCCTACAGTACAACTCATAAAAAAAAATAATAATAATTAAAATATAATCAGTGCTTTCACCAAGTGTTAGCAGCAGATCATGCTAGAAATTGCCACACCTCAACACCGTACCTATCCAGAATGCTGTTAGCTTACAAATAGCATCCCTTCTCCTCCCTTCACAGTTTTGCACTTGGATCTAATTCTTTTTGAAAAGTATACATTTTAACAACCACAGATTCATATACAGACTTTTTGATATGTGCATAACTCTGTTCCTAGTATAGATATTTTTTTTAAAAAACTAGAAAATTCTTAATAATGTTAGGTTGTTGTTGTTGTTGTTAAGTGCCATCAAGTTGGTTCCAATTCATAGTGACCCAGTATAGGATTTCCAAGGAGCAGCTGGTCAATTTGCACCACCGACCTCTTGGTTCACAGTCCAGTGCTTATACTTGTGAGGTAGACATTTTTATTTTGCCTGTTGTTGTTATTAAGTGCCTTCAAGTTGATTCCATGTATAGGGTTTCCAAGGAGCAACTAGTGGGTTTGAACTGCTGACCTTGAGATAAGCAGCCCAGTGCTTATTGTACAGCAACACACCAGGACATAGATAAGGTTATTAACTTGCTCAAGTTGAACAAGTAACAGGTGGCTAATTTTCAAAAGTAGATCAGCAGGCTTTCCTAATAGTTTGTCTTAGCCTGGAAGCTCCTTTGAAACCTGTCCACACTGGGTAACCCTGCTACCAGCATCACAAAAAACATGCAAGTCACCACAGTACAACACACTGACAGACAGGTGAAGGCAACATTAACCCTCTCACTGAGCCGACTCCAACTCATAGTGACCTTATAGAACAGTGTAGAATTGCTCCTTAGGGTTTCTGAGACTATAAATCTTTACGAGAGCAGACAGCCTCATCTTTCTTCTGCAGAGCAGCTGGTGAGCTTGAACCTCTGACCTTACAGCTCAATGTTTATACTATATCCTCACCAGGACTTCTTGATAAGTAGTGGGAGAAGAAGCGAAATTGGAATAATTTCAGCGGGCACAAGAGCAGGGGTAAGTGACTATTTGAGAGATGATTTAGAGATGGGACTAAAAGAACAGACACTAATGGAAGGCAAAGAGTAAGAGCGAGAAATCAGAAGACTGCAAGATGTTTTTAACTCAGAAACTCAAGAAGATAGTGAGAAGGTCAATAGAAACAGGGACACAGGAAAAAGGGGGGTGGGGACAAATCCATTTCATTTACAGTATATTGACTTTGAGATCCTACTGAGACATAATGGAGATGTTAAGAACATTTGATGAAAAAGGAGACTCAGAATCAGAAGGGGTCCTGGCTGAATTTAGATTTGGAAGCTGTTCTCAGAAGCAGGAGCATAGGCAAGATTGCATAGGACACAGGGTGGAAAGGAGGGTAGAGAATCCGTCAGAATTGGCTAGAGTGACAGGCACAAAAGAAACAGAACCAGGTTCCAGGTAAGGAACAGCCAGCGAGGTAGAAACTTATGGGAGGCTGGGAAGGAGATGCTTCAAAGAGAAAGCCCGTATGATCAATAGAGAGCTTGTTGTTGTCAGGTGCCATCGAGTCGGAACCGACTCATAGCGACCCCATGCACAGCAGAATGAAACAATGTCCGATCCTGGACCAACCTCACTACCACTGCCACACTTGAGTCCATCAATGATGCCACCTGGCCGATCCATCTCGTTAAGGGTCTTCCTCTTTTTCTCTGACCCTCCACCTTACCCAGCATGACATCCTTCTCCAACGATTGTTCCCTCTTGACAATGTGTCCAAAGTAGGAGAGACGAAGCTTAGCCACCTTGGTCTCCAGTGGAGAGCTACTTGATATAAAAAGCGAATCCAAAAAAGTGATGCTTCTATAAATTAGGAGTTTCAGAGGATGGGAATGGTGAAATGTGTCTTCAAGTGCATATATCCCTAGAGACATTTACCAAACAGACCTCAGAGGTATTATGAGTTCAATTCCAGATCCCCATGATAAAGCAAATATGGCAATAAAAGAAGTTACGTGAATTTTTTGGTTACCTAGTCCTGGTGTGGCACTGTGGGCTAATTCATCAGACTGCAAAGTCATTTGAACTGCAAGGTCAGTAGTTCAAGCTCACCAGCTACTCCTTGGAAACCCTATACAGGGTCGCTATGGGTTGGAATCGACTCGACAACACTTAAAACAACAACAACAATGCATAGAAAAGTTATGTTTATACTACAATATAGTCTATTAGGGTCATTCATGTGGCACTATAAGATAAGCACTGGACTGCTAACACTAGGTCAGTGGTTCAAACCCACCAGCTGCTCCTTAGAAATCTTCTACAGGGTTGCTATTAATGGAACTGACTCCATAGCACTTAACAACAGTATCAACAACATAGTCTATTAAGTGCACAAGAGCATTATGAGAAAGTCTGAAATATTGTGAGAATAACCAAAAGGTGACACAGAGACACAAAGTAAACACATGTTGTTGACAAAATGGCGGCAGTAGACTTGCTCAACAGAGTTGCCACACACCTCCAACTTGTAAACAAAAAAATACAACATCTGTAATGCATAATAAAATAAAGTATGCCTGAATAGGGAAAATAACTTGGGAAACAACAAGCTAGAATGAATTTGTTATATAGTTAATGACTTGGATTTTCCCTCCAAGCACAGTCAATGTAGCATGTGCATTAGAAACGCTGAAGGATTGATCCACATGCTGATGTCTGGACCTCACCCCAAAAAGACTGAATCGCAATCTCTGGGGTGGATGCTTCAGGTATCTTTATTTTGAACACCACCATCTCCCAAGAATTCATATGTATACAGACCAAGGGGATTATTTCAATGTGTTTTCAAATGAATAGAGAGGGTTAGTGGAACAGGATTAATTGAAAGGAAGAGATAGCTGATGGAAAGTAATCCTACAAAGGTAAGGTAGGGTCTAGGGCACAAGCAGAAGGATTAGCCTTAAAAGACAAACTCGACCTATGTCCAACAACATCCTGCTACAACAACAACATGGTGGAGACCCAGACAACAGAGATGCCAGTTTGGCCCCATGAAAAGTTCATTTCGGTACTTCCACTCTCGGTAATAACATTTTACCATCTGCAGTGAAAGCCATGATGCCACGGACACACCAGAGGCTGAAGTCTCGACAGAAGCCAGAGACCCCGATGAGTTTCCCAGCCCTCCTAGCAGCAGTGAGGAAAGCACTGGCAGCTGGTCCCAGCTGGCCAATGAGGAGGACAACCCTGACGACACTAGTAGCTTTCTACAACTCAGTGAGCGATCCATGAGGTACCCACCTGTTCTTCATTTGACTTCCAGGAGAATCAGGTCTCAACAGTTTCCAAAAATGCATTTTGTTGGTTCTCCGCAAAAGGACCCTAATAGAGCCAGAACGAAAGCTTCTGCCAGGTCGAGATATCTGCCTGTCATGATTTGTGCTCAATGTTATCTTACTATCCCATTACAGCTTAAGTTACTTTGGCCAACCTTAAGAGTCAGCTGTGGATGGTTCTGTGCAAGTCCCAGGTATTGCATTCAGGGATGAATGACACTGTGAATTTTTTCACAAGAGTTGCCCCTCATATGATCGATACTTTATTTCCACTTCATTTTTATATCCGATACAACACAGGCTGGGTTTCCAGGAGGCAAGTATTTCCACACTGTCTTGTGTTATTTTGTCTGATTGTTCTTACGTTTACTCTCCCTGCCCTTTGTATCCTTGCCCTGGAAAATCCAGACGAGAGTTTATAAGAGATCTGATTTGGAGGGAAGGAAGCATTCATAAAACTTGAACCAAAAAATTTGTTCTCGGTGAGGTGAAAATTATAAAATAATCTCCACATTTCTGCCCAAGGTCTAAGTTGATCCTGGACCCAGAAGGCCACAGACTTTTCAGAAAGGCCACTGGGAAAATGTGACTCCGATCCGTGTGGGTGTGCAGATCTTTGAAGTTTTCTGTCTTGCAGTTCTGTTTGTAAAGATACTTAGGTAAATTCCACAGTGTCCAACAATTTGTCTAAAATCCAAAAATGAGGAAGAATGTATAAGGTGAAGTGGTGGTGGTGGTGGTGATGTGCCGTGGAGTCGGTTCCGACTCATAGCGACCCTGTACAGGGTTTTCAGAGAGGTAAGGATAAGTCAACTCTCTAGCTATACTAGCAAAAGCATAGTGGGGTTGATTCCTTCCAGTGAAACATTTCAGTCCCCAGAATTCAATCTGTGGATATATTTGGTCCCCTATCCCATGCCCCAGGCTAGAATTTTTAATTGTGCAAGTCTAGTTGGTTACTTGTGGTACTCCTAAGAAAGACTATCCCAGACCACAATGCACCAGCACTTGCCCTTTCAAAATGTTGCTTCTAAGAGGTCTTGGGAAGTAGGGAATGTGTGAAGAAACTCAGTGGCTTTAGTGCAATTGGATGGGTTCCATTTCACAAGTACTGACCGAACTTCAAAATTGGCTCACTTCTCCCATTACAGTGCTTAAGTGCCAAATTAGTAACTCCACTGTCTGCTGATTGTACAACCTACCACTATGATGTAATCCATGATCCTTCCTTCTCAATGATACATAAAGTCTCTCAAAGATTTTAAGATTAAGGAGCTATAAAACTTTAACCCTGTCCATCTTTGTACTTGTAAATTTTAGAGCCCCATAGAAAAATAAGCCAGGTGTACATTCTGTGGAATGCCCCTCATAAAAATCCCCTCAATGTCAAAGGGAGAACGGGAGTCCACTGATTTCTATCACAAAAGAATCAGACAGATAAGCTTTCTGTTATCTCCTGACCCAGCATTTTCAGAAGTGTCTTAAAACACATGGGCTTGCTGATACAAGAACATCCACCCTCTAACTAACTACAAGGAGGAAGAAAAGAGGCATACTGCTTGTTACCCTCTTACAGTGGGTGACCAGGGGTTGCACCACTTCAGAAATGAGAAAACATCATGATTATTTCCAATATTATTGTTTGGGCTCAAACCTACTAGGCAGATGCCTTTTGTTATGTTTTCCTCTCATTTATTTCCCTCAGAAATAAATGAAGTTTTGAAATCCTAGAGTCAGGTTCTCAAACCAGTTTGTTCCAGTTTAACTCCCTGCAAAGAATTTGACTTTCCACTCTGGATATACTGAATCTCAGTCTACAGTTTAACCACATTTCCAGGTGATTCTTATGTATACGTTTTATTAACATGTATATTCTGACTCAGCATACCTGGGGGTGGAAGTGCAAATTCTCAGTAGGGGAGTGGGGGGTGGGGTGGAGAAACATAACCAGAATGAACAGGTTGAAAACCCTCCCTAAAGTCAAGACCATATTCTTCTGGGGACCAAAGGAAGGATATCTTACAATGGTGGAGCGTCGTGTTGGCAGTGTGGCCAGGTGGTGGAGACTGGCATTAATATGTAAACTTTTGCTTTGTCAGCAATGGCAACAGTAGTGCCACTAGCAGTCTTGGCATTATGGACCTGGACATTTATCAGGAAACCATGCCATCTTCTCCCATGATTAAGTAAGTAGCCGCTGAGATGTAGTGGTCATGAGACCTCTACCCCAATTTCATCTGGCAATTCATTCAGATCATTCAGGTTGTGCTCAGCCACTGATACCATCGCATCTGTGTGGCCATGGTTCCCAGAACTTGTAGTTCTTTAACACTGGAGCAAGAACTGGAGTCTAGAATCGGCCCCACCTTACCACACCTATTTGTGGGCGTCAAATCAGCTCCCTATGATGTATTTATTTCAGATAAAGTGTATTCATCTAAACAGAAGTGTATGTCATTTTACCTCATTGGACAGCCACATAGAAGCAAAAGAGCCATTGAAATTGTACCAAGCCAGCCAAGGAATATGGTATATTCAGTAGAAAATGGTATAGTCCGACGGTCTTTATTTGTAGACACTTGGGCTTATCATTACCAAATATGTCTATAGACTTTGATGGAGATGTAGTACACCCACAATATGGGGAGCTTCTAAAATACCAAGGGCATTTAGAGAAGCAAACTATATATTACATAAAATATAGTGCAGAAAGGTCTGGACTAATTCTAGGATTTGTGATTGTTCTAGAAAGTTGACTCAATTGAAATCTATGTCTGGCCATTTTGGATTAGTTAACTATTGGGTTATTTCTGAATTTTTAGTAAAATGAGAAGGAATTACAGAAGTTGCTCCCTAATCTCTGTCCTCCATCACTATTTTTATATATAGCTAAGGCATTTTCAATTCTCCACTCATTCAGTCATCGCCCAGGATTCAAAGTTAGAGTTCATCCTCTGTTGTTCCACAACCATTATGAATACAATAATGAACCAACACATTACCCTTTATTTTATTTTGTTTTCTTCTTTCAAGAAAAAAAAACAAAAGCAAAATGACTCTTCTAGGAAACTTCTGATCGTTTTCTATCTTTCTCCATGACATTCACCTAAGGCCCCACATCCTATATGCATTCAGAGAAGCCCCTCTCCCTACAGGCAGCATCTTACAGGTCCAGAATAGCAGAAACTGAACCTACCAGCTGTCATTTTCACTCCTGTCACTCATATAGAGATAGAGCAGAACATCGAGACCATGGGGAAACTGGCCAGTCTTCTGCAAGCCATTGGGTATGAATCCAAAAGTGACAACAGAGAGGCTTGTCAATGTCAGACTTCTTCCAAAATCAGGAATACAATGGAATTTATCAGTTACAGCTTACCAGTCACAGTGAGTACAAGGGAGAGCCCTCTCTCATCATTTTAAGGTCTTTGTATTCTAATTTCTAAACAGGACAAAAATACAGGACAGCCACAGGCTGGCCAAGGTGTTCACTTCCTTTCATCTGTAAAGCTATATGATTTCACTTTGGAAGGACTGCTGAACCACCTGACTCTGTGCAAGACTTTGTGATCAGTTCTTGCCACCTAAAAAAAAAATCACATATTAAATATTGCCATAGCTAATGAAATATTTCAGCTATGAGTCACTCCTTCTAAACTACTCCAACCTACTGCAACCATCTAATAAAACAAAAGGAAAAAAAATGTAACTTAATTGAGTGACATTGTGGTGTAATTTAAATTTGATGATTTGTCAGTTGTCATTTCTCTTATTCTAGAAAAAAGAACCATCTACTGATAGGAAGGCATTTTTCTTGATTAAAATGTAAGCTTATGTTGTTAACATTGTATAGAAAAGATGGATAGTCCTTTAAACATAAGTAAAGTACACGCGAAGGATAAATCCTAAAACCAGAATTAATGACCTACAAAAACCTCTCCTTGACTGTTACATCTTGAGAAAAGGCTTATGGAAGCAGAGACTGAGTAGAATAGGAGGATACATCTTGCAAGAATCTCCCCACCAATTATCCCAACTAACCCCACACATAAAGGTTATATGGCCTTTTTGAGGGAGCTTGTTAATTGCAGACCCTGTAGTCCTTAATAGTTACAATGATGTTTCCCCAGCATTACTTATGAAAACAATTAAAAAAAACAATATGGAAACAATGGAGACCCAAGTTCAAACACTTCTAGATCAATAAGACACATTGCTTCATCTTCCATTTGCAGCTTACTCTTCCTAAACATTACCAACCATATATTGTTGTTTTCTCCCCCAAGTGAATTAGTAGAAGAAAAGCAGATCCTTAAAGGACGCTCAGAACACATAAAGGGTAAGCCAAGTTCCCATAATTTTGACACACTGTTGCCTGCATTCTCTTTTTGGAAAGCATAGTAAGGCTGTGGTTGTGTCTGTGTTCAGAATGTGCCTCTGGACTACCGGTGGGAACAACCAGCCACCAGCGGAACCTGCTGGTGATCAACTTTGACCTGGAGCCAGAGTGTCCCGATGCTGAGCTCCGAGCCACTCTGCAATGGATAGCTGCCTCTGAAATTGGGATTCCCACCATCTACTTTAAGAAATCTCAGGAAAGCAGAATTGAAAAGGTATCCATTTTCTGTGTTTGGATTGTTGTTGTTAGATGCCGTGGAGTCACTTCAGACTCCTAGCAACCACATGAACATCATAATGAAACTCTGCTCTGTCCTGTGCCAGCCTCACATTTGTAATGTTTGAGCCCATTTTGGGAGCCACTGTGTCAATCTCTCTCATTGAGGGTCCTCTTTTTTGTGTTTGGATAGGACATACACAAAGCTTTGGGTTTTCATCAACACTGGGCACTCAGTCAATGTCCATTTAATCAACTTGAACTTGTATTGTTTGTTGTTGATTTGTCAATTTGAAATTGTGGCTAAAACTTGGAAACCTTCCACCTGCATAGATACAAACATCATTTCTGTTTCTTGGGCCCTTCATTTGACTCAACTGGTTTGTGGTAATGAGACATATGAACTGGGGAAATGAGAATTTTCTCAAGTCGGTTCTGGAACCAACTACTTCATAATGCTCATTTAAATCAAAGGAGGAAACAAATAATTGGAATAGCCTAGAAACCAAAGTGTGACCACTCATTTAAAATAGGCATGGTGTCCAGGGGAGGCATTTTTCTTTTTCAGAACAGATTTGCACTAGATGGGTTTTCTCATTATCATTCCACACTTACCAGAACATAAAATTGGTGAATAAATCCTTTGCCAACATCAGAATGAATATCTCTCATTCTAGTTCCATATCTCTGGCTGTGATATAATCTCAACTATTAAGAATCAGGCATTTTTAGATTGAGGCCAGGCATCTATCTGCCAAAGTCTTCAACCTCAGTTTGCCATAATATGAAAGCCATGATGTTTTTTGACCTTTTCAAACTGATCATTATGTTGATGTGTACATTTTCTACTGCTGTGCAACAAATTACAAATTACTGTATACTTAGCAGCTTAAAACAACAGCCACTGATTGTTCCACGGTGTGGTGAGACCTGGGGACTCCTGAGTCCATGGACAAGGACATAACCATGGAGGGCTAGAGCTGAGAGCGAAGCATCCAGCTGATATGAAGTGAGGAGAGATGCACAAGAATACCCAAACTTGCAGATAGTACCCATTTGAATAGCATCAATGGCTTGATAATCAAAACTCGAGTAGAGGAAGATTAAAAAAAAAAGAAAAGAAAAGAAAGAAAGAAAGAAATGTAAAGGAAACAAGGGTAAATTGCTACAGTTTGATTAACTTGATCTATACTCATGGATGTAGTAGCTCAAAATACCAACAGAAAAGGAAGGAGTCTTCATATAAAGTATCAATCCTATCCCATCTGTACGCTGGGTAGACAGGGATGGGCAACGTAGACACTGGCTACCTAAAATGAGGGGGCTATAAAGGCATGAAGTGACTGGCTTACAAGTTTTCAAGAGGGAGTTTAATTTAAGAATGTGTGGGGAAGATAGAAGATAGGTCTGGTGAAAAGATATGGGGATAAGATTCTTAAGATTCAATAGTGTGTAATTGTTATCATGTCTAATTGCGACTGTCACAACTGTAAAGGTAGAAGGTTTGTAACAAAAACAAGGGAGCAGTTAATCTTACAGTCCAGAAACAGGAACCTAAGACCATCAAGGGGAAAGAGCACAAGCAGAATGTGGGACTCTTTCCAGAGAAGCAGTGACACCAGAGATGGAGACAGAGATGAGGACATGGACAGAAGGAGCAGATGAGGACTCTGGACTCATGGAAAGAGAAGGACTGAGTGCTGGTGGCCAGGAGGCAGTCTTGCAGAATGTGCCCTTTGGTGGTGTCAATTATTATATATTCCTAAGTGCTTTTGTGTACATCTCCCCACCCTACCCCACCTCACCCAACTCCCCCTCCCCAAAGGGGGGGGGGAAACTGAGGGAATTGAATCAAATACTGTTGAATGATGATGCACAGAGAAGATTGTAATTATTGCAATGAAACGATAGTGTAAAGCCAATGTTATCCCATGTAAACTATCACTCAGTTCACAATAAAACAAACAAACAAAACAGTTAGTTATCCTGTAAGCCAGGAGTTCAGGCAGGTTCTTCTGGGCTCTCTTCGCACAAGGCAGAAATTAAGGTAGCTCATATCTGGAAGATCTGGGGAAGAATCTGTTTCCAAGCTCATTTAGGTTGTTGTCCTACTTCAGATTACTGGGTTCCTTCTGGGGCCTTGGTTTCTTTTTGGAATTCTGACTCTTGTAACAACTGTCTCCAAACTGATGTTTGAGACCCACCTTGCTTAAAAACATCCTGAATAAGAGATTTTGAGGTGGATATATATATTTATATATATATATTGCTCTTCAACACTTTAAAAAGGTCATATGCATCAGATTTGCCTAATGCAATACGTCCTTTGATTTCTTGACTGCTGCTTCTGTGAGTGTTGATAGTTGATCCAAGAAGAATTGACAACTTCAATCTTTTATCCGTTGATGAGAATGTTGTTTATTGGTCCAATTGTGAGGATTTTTGTTTTCTTTACATTGGGATGTAATCCCTACCAAAGGCTGTGCTCTTTGATCTTCATCAGTAAATGTTTTAAGTCCTCTTCACTTTCAGCAAGCAAGGT